CCAATATTTCTCTGTTACTGGAAGCTGTGTTTCATGTTTCCGAATGGTGCTAGCACCAGATGGCAGGACTTTACCCTCATAATGTGTGCAAAGGCAGGGCAACAAACCCTAAGGCCTCATTCACACACAACGCAAGCAACATTGTATATTGCGTATATAAACGTCTATGCGCGTATATACGAGCGTCTATGCACGTATATACGAGCGTATATGCGTGCACTATATGCAATCCCAGAATGCATCACTCGTAATGGAATTTTTAATGTGCTGTATGCGTATGTATCACATACAATATGTGCGGTGTCTTCAGGGGACCTGATCAGGACCCGATATCATGTGAACAGCCCCTTGGGGCCTGTTCACATGATTTTCAGGTCCTGATCAGGTCCGGATCAGGTGCGGATCTGCAGACGCGGTGCTATGTGTTTTGCAGCGTTTGGGCCGCGTTCCACTAAAAAATTAACAATTTTTTTGCTGGAGTGGGGCTGTCAGTATGTTAGCTGCAGTGCAGTGCGTTTGACGCGTTTTGCGTTTCTGGACCGTTTAAAATGTGACATGCGGTATTTTTCTGTCGTAACCTGAATGGACTGCGCACGTGAGAACTGTAGCCCATAAAACACATAGGGATACATTGGGATGCATTTTTAGTGCAGGAGCGTACGGATCAGGTCAGCACAGAAAATGGACGTCGTGTGAACAAGCCCTAAGGGATGACTAAAGGTGCCCATACACCTTACAATTATCTGCAGATTTTCTGTGGTCAGATGGAAAAAGTGCAACAGATTGGCCCAGGTGGAGATTACTCCAGCCACACAGTTAAGTGTAGATGGAGGAATCTGTTGTACCTTTTCCATCTGACCACAGAAAATCTGCAGATAAATTGTAAGGTGTGTGACCAACTTAAGGGCCAGTTCACACCTTATGCAGTTGTGATGCAGTCTGTTTATTCTGACTGCTGCAGTCAAAATACAGCACAATGCTTTCCAATGGGCTTTCTTGCGCTTAATTCACACCATTGCAGTCCGTTCAGAAAAAGTACTGCTTGTCCTATTTTACCTGCATCAAACTGCATCGAAACGCATCAAAACGCAGTGCAAACACATTGCAAACGCATCAAATGCACCGAACGCATAAAAAAAAGACTCAGAATTGATTATGTCATCACCCAGGGACTTCCTCTTTGTAGTGTGGAGAGAAAGTGAAGAGATGAAATTTGTGGATGCTGATGATTTCATCCAATATGTGTGGGACTGTTCCCTGCTGTACAACAGCAAACATCCATGACAGCAAACACCCCCATACAGCAAACATCCGGGTGCACCCAATATCGGCGTCGCCTGCGAAGGCGTTGTCGGAGAATGGCTATAGTCAACGCTAGCACCATGCCAGCTAACAAAGAAAGCATGCCTGATCTCCAAAACAAACGTAGGAAATGCTCTGATAGGAAGAGGAAGTTACCTCATTGTCTAATTAGCATTTTCTAGTGCAGAAAAAAAACCGCATCAAAACGCATTGCAAACGCATCAAAACGGATCGCAGTGCAACTGCACACACGCACGCAGTTGTGATTCAGTTTCTGGTGTGAACTGGGCCTGACAGAACCAGAGTCACAACTAGATAAAAGCAACATAAAATAATAAAGTGAGATTTATCTTTTTCATTAAAGGAAAACTATGAGGTGAGTGCTTTTCACTCACCTCATAGTTCTAGCCGACCTGTGACAATGAGACTGTCACAGGTCGGCTCAGTAGATCGGGAGGTGAGCAAACACATACCGGCGTTCGCTCACCTCTCGATCCTGTCACGGCTCTCTGCTGTGACAGGGGAGGGGCTGGATTCCCCCCGTTCCGCCAGCGCTGACTGACGGCCTCTAGATAGGCAGAGCCAGCTGTCAGTCACGCAGCTGGGCAGATCCAGACATAATTGTCGGGATCCGCTTCAGCTGCGGCGTCTTAGTATACCGTGAGCAGCAGCTTACGGTATACTGAGCCTAGGGTGACAGGAGGACGCTAGTTTGTGTCCTCCCATTACCCTAAGGAGAACTATGGGGAAAAGCCTTAACCCCATAGTTCCCCTTTAACTAGACACAGCAGGATTGTATAAAACAGCAACATCATATTATTAGCTCAGTCTTTGTATTTTAAACCAACCTGTGGGCTTAAAACATACTGTAAACTGATGTAACAGGCACCTCCATGCCATTATTGCCTTTGATCTCCTGTAGAAAACAATGGGAAACTCCTCTATAAAATCGCTCCTTAACGTCCACGGTCACCAGCTTAGACATTTTCTACTGCCTTTATACATATACAGTGTGGCATTGTGAGGTAATACCACGGTGTTAGGTGGCCTCAAAGTCACCCAGGGTTCTCAGCCAGAGGGGCTGAGTGGCTCCAGGAAGACAGTACGTGTACCAGGAGAGAACTGCCTTTTCAGTTCTTTCCAGGTTTTCTGGATCATAGTTGGGATCCTGGAGCCAGGAGATTTCTTAGAGCTCTGGGTGGGATGAAATCTCCATTCCTGGGTCCATGCTTTGGTAGTGACCAGCACCTGATTGTGCACCTGTGTACATCCCTCATGAAGAGTGTGCTGGGATGTGTTCAGGGCCCCACCTGTGAGTCAGGAGAGCTCCACCCTGGAGTCAGTGGAGGCCAGTGCAGCAGGGAGCTGCGGGTTTGTGAACCATATTGAATTCTGGGAGTGAGACCTGGAAGACTGCTTAGATCAGAAAAACTGGAAACAAATGTGGAAAATGACAGCCCATTGTTCCATCAACACTTCTGCTGTGGAATCTAACTTTAAATTGCTCATGTGCTGTTATATGGTCCCCCACTGCCTTGTGAAATGTGTCCCTGCTACCTTCAGCTCATGCTTCCGAGGATGCCAGACCCCAGGCACTCTCTACCACATGGTGGGAATAGAGGAAATAAGAGGATACTGGACCAATATTTATCATTTGGTCTACACCCTCTTATGCATGGCATCCCAAAAATTCCACAAGACGGCTTATTAAATTTGAAACCTACCCAATGCAACAAATCACAGTTTTGTTTCAAAGTAGGTCCTCGCCAAGGCGTGTAGGTCCTCCACCCTCAAGGTTGAAGAGGTGAAGCAAAAGATTACATGGTTCCTATTAAACAAATAAAGGCAGCAATTCTCAAAGACATCTGGACTGAAAACTATCTCTCCAATGATTTTGACTTTCATTGTTGGTCCTCCCATATACTTTATCTAACTCCTAATATATTCTATATAAATGGGGTCCCTGAGATGTATTGTTGAATACAGAACTGCATTAAAGGAGAACTATGGGGTCAGGGCTTTTTCCCATAGTTCTCCTAAGGGTAATGGGGGGACGGGACACAAAATAGCATCCTCCCGTCACCCAAGCTCAGTATACCGCGAGCTAAAGCTCGCGGTATACTGAGACGCTGCAGCCGCAATGGATCCCGACAATTCTGTCTGGATCCACCCAGCTGCCTGAGTGACAGCTGGCTCTGCCTATCGCTCCTCTCCCCCTCCCCTGGGAGGACTGTTTTGGTGTACTGCCCGGTTGGGGCTGTCTTGGATACACGCATGTCAGCCTGCTAAATTGATTCTCTCCATCTCCTGAAGAAACGCCTCTGAGCGCGAAACGTCGAGACAAATATTCGCTCCCCCATTCTCAACCATCCTTATTCATGTATCTATTATTCTAATCATGCTATTAATTAACCATTCTATCATGTATTCTTGAATGAGATGTTCATAGGTGGAGTGAGCAAAGCCTATGTCCCTCCACTTTTTAATGAACCCAAATTAATTTTTCAATCGTGTATTCAATTAATTTTTCAATCATGCTATCATGTCTTTCTTGAAATGGGTGGTATAAATGGAATGAGCGTACAAGGAGACATCTGATCAGCCGGTTGTTTTTATTACTTACACTGTATGAATCAATCTTTTAAAATATTACTAAGAATAAAAATACTTTTTTACTGCTAAATTGCTTTGGATTTGTCATTAGGTGCCCAAAAAAACCCCCCATCTTTTTTCTTTCCTTTTTATACCAAAGTTCTTAGGGGTGTGGCACCAACTACTCAGGCCCCGGCCATAAATACTAATTTAAGCTTAGTTTATATGGCCGACGTTGGGGGGGTTTCTGCAGAGATCACCACAGGTAAAGCAAGCAGCTGGCCTGGTGTTCAAGACTGAATAGGGGCCTGACCCTGGGGTGGTGGAAGGCCAAGCCTTTGCAGAGGACAGCAGCTGTTCTCTGCAAAGGCTTCCCTAGCCCCTACCACAGCGTCAGGCCCCTATTCAGCCTTTGGCACCACCTGCTTGCTGCTACTGTACTGATCTCTGCATCAGCACAGTAGCAGCAAGCAGCTGGTGCCCAAAACGTAATAATAGGGGCCAGCCGTTGAGGTGGAGGGGAAGCCCTTGCAGAGATCAGTACAGTAGCACCAATTTGCTGGCCTGGTGCCCAAGGCTCAATAGGGGCATGACATGGGGGTGGGGGAAGCCAAACCCCTTCCACCACCCCAGCCAAAGGCTTCCCCCACCTCAGCATTGAGCCCATATTCATCCATGGGCACCAGCTGCTTGCTGCTACTGTGCTGAATCTGCAAAAGTAGCAGCAAGCAGCTGGTGCGCAAAACTGAATTATAGGGGCCTGACACTGAGGGGGGAAGCCTTTGCAGAGAACAGTACAGTAGCAGCATTTAGCTGGCCTGGTGCCCAAGACCCAATGGAGGCCTTTACTGATTACTGACATGATACTCCAGCCCAATACCAAACAACCGCTCATGTATGGTCAGCTTGCCTTTTGTTTCACATTTTGTAGCCAAAGCAGAAGCTTGGACTCGCTAGGTACCACTACTGAGCACCACACGACCAGAGCTGGAATTACAGGCGCCATTGAGCCACACATACAGCTACACACTACCTCACTCAGCATACTGCGCACCCGTTACCTAGTTACCACACCCTCCCCTCCTAAAGCTTCCGGTGCACGTCGTGTGCGTCCCGGGCGCTTGTAGTGACGTCACACGCACGTTCTATCATGGTCCGGGAACGACGACACTGGTGACCTGACAACGCCAACGAGGAGCTGTCAGTGCTGTGTGTGGACACGGGATTGGAATGGCGGCTTGAGCGCCGTGTGGAGGGTCCGGAGTCACCGTCTGAAGGGAGAGGAGACAACATGTCTGAACCGAACAGCGTGTCACTGCAGCAGATGCTGGACAGGTGAAGAGCAGGGGGCATGGGGGGGGGCGGGGGTTTGGCTCTCACATTACATGTAAACAAGGGGGGGTGGGGAGGCTCATGTCACTGGGTGCAACTGGTGCTGACCTAGAACACACACTCTGATGATATAATAAAATATTAGCCTGCTGAGGTGCTGAAAAATCAGACATGACCCCTTTTTTGTAATGCAATGCACCGCTGTGTGATGCCTTCGTGTGTTGGGGTGCCATTTGCAATAAATGGCCCAGCAACGCATGTTATCTGGAACCTGGAAGTGGAAATTTGCCCTTAAAGCTGAAGTCTTGGCACAAAAACTTACATTAAAATATATTTATACGAATCCACTACGTGTGCACCAAATGTCTTTGCAGACCCAGATATTAAGACATTACCTTGTCAGAGTAGTGATGACATCATCACTGTGCTGCCCATGTGCAGAGAGCAAAGCTGTGGGAGGGACCCAGCAGGCCCCACCCACTACAGGCTACCTGCAGAAAATTACAGAAAGGGGCGGAGACCAGAGCAGTCATTGCTGCTCTTAGTCTTCTTGCAGGGTGACTGATGCACAGAGGCAAAGTTTCACATTTGACTATTTCATTGATGAGGAAGAAATACACAAAGCACACCAAGCTTCCAGAAAGAATACATTTTGACAATATTTGCTTATCCTGGATTTCAGCTTTATTATAAACTTATTCAAAAAAATTAATTGCGCAACCTTCTGTTATATAGCTGGCACCAAAAGTTGCCTGTACTTGTTCATTTATTGGGATCCACTGACAGAAACCTGACAGAGATCTACCGTCTGATGCCAAAATACCTGCAAATAGCCTGCTTGGCATCTGTTATCAGATCCACCCAATGAATACCTGGCTGGGGTGTTCTTTCAGAACCCCCCTGAATACCAGGCCAGGATCTACCACCAGAACAACGCCCTCTTCCCATGGATACTTCACCAGGATGTGCTGCTGAACTCAAAAACTGTGGAACCAGCAAATTATGATCTTCCAAAGAAATTCAAACTTTATTCCACATGCATCTATACAAACCACAACCGCTGACGCGTTTCTGGTTTACTCGGCCCTAGTCATAGCATGTGCTGCTGAACCCCTTTTGAAAAGCTTGCTTGTTATCTGCTACCAAAATACCTCGGCCGATTGCTGGCCGGGATCTGCCGCCGGAAAACCCCTCGGCCGATAGCTGGCCGGGATCTGGCGCCGGAAAACCCCTTGGCCGGGATCTGCCGCCGGAAAACCCCTCGGCCGATAGCTGGCCTTCTTGAATCTGCTGCCAGAACTCCTCATCCAATAGTCTGGCCTGGTGGTTCTAGGTGAGTGACACACAAATACATCTTTGTTAATAGTTGAGGTATTATGTATTGTATAATGTATTTTTAAGATTTAACTCCTGAGTTTAGTGTCACTTTAAATATTCATATTTTTATATTCCTACAACAGTGGGCATCACACAACACTGTAATATAACATGTACAGCAGAGGTAGAAAACCTTGGCAGACCAGCTGTGGTGAAACTACAAATTCCATCATGCCTGTGGCTGTCAGTCTTGCAGTGCCTTGTGGGATTTCTAGTTTCACCAAAGCTGCCTACCCCTGTGTATAGGTATCATTTGGCCTGTGAATTTATTTGAGGGTCACGTGGCTTGTTGGTCAGATGTCTCGTATTCAGTTGCTGGCAGTGTGTTTGACAACAATCTTGTATAGCTATAGTATAACAATAAGTTCTTTTTTACTTATTCAACTTGGTCAGTGATTTTCTTTTAGCAGCACATGTTAAAATATGTTTACCAAACCTTTTTTTTTTTTCCTTCTTTGTAGGTTAGGTTAGGGGAGGGTTAAGATCACTGTCAGTTTTTTTTTTAATCCTTTGCCAGTTGTCTTAGGGGCATTTTATTCCACTTCCTGTCCTGTAGACTCAACAGGAAGTGAGAGGATATTTCATCAATGTGAAGAAACCACCATGTAGATAAATGGGTGCTGATTGGAAGATCTCCCCTCTATTCCTTTTCAGGTGGCAACCCAAAATGATGCATTTACATGTACTTCACATTTATTTCTTGTGACATTTGTGATCAGTACATTTAGAAAGAGTGAATCTCCCTAGGGGGGGGACAGACAATATTTTAAACGTGACTGATTTTCCCCCAATGCTAATCTAAAAAAAAAAAAAAAATTGCCTTTTAGTTCTACATTAAATCTGTAGCCAACACTTTCATATTTAGATATCTCCATATTCTATAAAGGGAAGTTTGTGAATTGTTCTTTTCTTCTACTGGTCAGCACTTGAACACGTGTTCATTGGAAACTCCATGTGCCAGTTACAATGCCAGGTTTATTCACTTAACCTGATGAATGTTGTATTGGAATACATTGGGAAAGATGCTGTATTTGAACTATTGTGTGACTGTTGGGGTTGCATTTTGCATACCGCCTGACAATCGGAAAATGGCTCATGTAGTGGCGTATTACAGCTTTGAATATGCATGCACAGGAATCAATGTTCATGCCGCTCCCTGATGTTTAACTGAGTTAAATGGCTCAAAGCTTTCAGTTTTATTCATGCTGTAATAAACTTTGTGTGCAAGGTCTGCTGGGGCTGATGCTGTAACACTTGTTGAGTCTTTCGACCTATGCCCCAAGTGATGACTTCAGGACCAGCTCAGTATATTCAAAATGAGCACTGATTGAGAACTCTTTATGCAGCATTTGTATATATAATAAAGATGCAGCGGTACTGATACTAGTGTCGGTATCTGTACCAATGCCGAGTATTTGGGCGAGTACTCGTACCATAAATGTAAAAAAAAAAAAAACAAGTTTCCCTACGTTATGTTATAAAACATTTATTATTACCCATATTTTTTGTAAAACATAAAAGTCGGGGGTCACGTCGGGTAAATACAAAACAAGACAAGTTGTTTTACATGCTAGTTTGTGAGTGTGCCATGATGCCTTTCTACTGTTCTACGTCGGGTAAATAGACACCAAACATGTCAAGCCTTGAAATTGCATGTGCCCGCAAAATCGCACAAAAACGCCCATAGGCGACGATTAAAAAGCTTTTACTGCTAATCAGTTTAGTGTTATCAGTGATTTAATGGCTCTAAAATTATTGCTTGCACTCCGACATTTGTGGCGATATGTAACATGTGCAGCACAATAGACGCAATCGTCGTTTTCGCATGTAGGCGCACCCGACGCATATCTGCGTCTGCATGTGGGGGGCGGGACTTAAAAATTTTTTTTTTTTTATCCCGTGCGGCTGATCTCACTGCGGCCGGAAAGCATGGCTTCGGTGCCATTTACTTCAATGCATCGCCATGACCACAACAAAGTGAGCCTGCCACAATGCGATCCAGTGCGTTCTGGCCATAAGCGGGCCGGAACGCACTGTGGCTGGTGTGAACTAGTCCTTAAAGGAGAACTATGAGGTGAGTGCTTTTCACTCACCTCATAGTTCTAGCCGACCTGTGACAATGAGACTGTCACAGGTCGGCTCAGTAGATCGAGAAGTGAGCGAACACATACCGGCGTTCGCTCACCTCTCGATCCTGTCACGGCTCTCTGCCGTGACAGTGGAGGGGCTGGATTCCCCCCGCTCCGAGCCGCCAGCGCTCACTGGCGGAACGGATGGGGGAGGGGGCGGGTACAGCTGGCACTGCCTCTAGATAGGCAGAGCCAGCTGTCACTCACGCAGCTGGGCGGATCCAGACATAATTGTCGGGATCCACTTCAGCTGCGGCGTCTCAGTATACTAAGCTTAGGGTGACGGGAGGACGCTAGTTTGTGTCCTCCCGTTACCCTTAGGAGAACTACGGGGAAAAGCCTTAACCCCATAGTTCTCTAATTTTTTTATTACTTTTTTTTTTTTTTACACACAACTTTATTGCTATTACATGGGGGGCTAAGAAGCCCCCTATGTGATAGCCAATTTACATGACAGGTCCTCTTTATGGAGACATCAGGGTTCTATCAATCTAAAGCTTTTCTACAAGTCATATTAGTTCTGTGATTACAGAGGGGAAAAAATGAAGCTTTCCAAAAAAAAAAAGAACACTGTACCTCTCATTGAGAGCTACAGAAATCGCTTGTTCGCAGTGAATGCCTCTAAGGCCCCGTTCACACCAGGGCGGATTTGTCCATGCTGAACCGCGTCCATGAACGATCCCATACATTTCTATGGGTACCGTTCAATGCTCCGAGCCTTTTTTCCACGCTTCCGTACAGATTTGATTGGAAACACGCTGATGAGCGCGTATGTGGGCGTTTTTTTGTATTTGCGTTTCAGCACTGAAACGGAAAAAAAACGCCCTTTGGTGAAGAGTTCCATCATTTTTGTCCATGCCAGTTTCATGATTTACAATATTCAGTTGAATCAAAAGAAAAGTCAGATTATTACTAAAAATGGAACAAACAATAATCCATTATAATGGATGCAAACTGCTTTGGTCAATTTCAAGCTGTCAGGAGATTGTTTGTTCTTTTTTTGTTGATCGGTTGCAACAAATGTGTCGATTACTGTAGCATCAGTGCCTGCTTTTGACCATATAGTGTTTGTGTGTCTTCCTATTACAACTGATACACCCCTCAGTGAACTGTATTGGGGGTGGAAGCTGATTTCCCCCTCCCTCAGATGTGCACTGTCACATGTTCCAGGAAGCATAGCAGGATGGATTCATCTACCCATAGTGAGAGTGATCACCTTGAGAAACATGGGATGGAAAAGAAAAAAAAAAGGTATACGAAGAATAAAAAGCCGGCAATTTATATAGAAGTATTTGTTTGTAGGTTCCCATTACTAAACATTTCTAAAGGTGTGTTTGTTGTCATTCAAGATGAGGTTGAAGTTCCTCTTTAAAGTAGAATTGAACTCTCTTTTTTTTTCCAATAAGGAATCTTGATCAAATAAATAGACCTTGTTTAGCAAAGTATTTCTTTTAATGTTTGCCCAAGAACTTAGTCATCAAGTCTCTGAACAGCTGG